TCTTCTTCTTCGTCGCTTTCTTCATTGCTGAAGGTCGTGTCCCTGAAACTTGACCGTTGCCTGTCTCGTGAGCTGTTTTCATCTCGTCCGGTCCTCAGTTGCTCGAATGGAGGTTGCGACTGGCAACCCAGTTAGAGCGGTTACTTGATCACACCAACGGCTAGGTAATCGGCCGCGGGGTCTCTTTCCTTCTACTTTGTTTACACAATCACAGAAAAAACAATTTCACAAGTTCCCGCCAATGCGTACATCAAAACAGCGATAAATAGTAATAAAACAATTTTTATTTAAGCTGAGTCCGTGGAGAACGTTTCAAGTGTTGTAATAGGTTATGGGTCATATCTCGATTCATCACTTGATTGTTTCAAATAGATAATTTGTGTAGGTACATCGTTTCATGAACGAATTATGTTGCTACTTTTCCAAAGGGAGGGAGCAGTAGAGAGAGAAGAGTATTTTAGCTAAAAAACTAACAACTCAAGGGCAGCTGCTTCGCGAATGAATTTACTACCGGATCGGAATCACGACCCGCTGAAAATATCCGGCGAGAAACTCAGCGAGCTGATGCATGGCTTAGGTTCCACGTGGGACTCTTTGCCGAGTTCGACGAGTCCGGTTACCGGAGTCCCTAAGCCTGCTCGATAAGGCGTTTATCATAAGGCATTGTCTTATCGTAACGTTCCGACGTTGACTTCATATGTTTTCGGGTCGATTCGAGGCTCAGGTCGTCTTGTAAGTTGACGTTCCTCACGAACCATGGTGCAATAGCAGGTTTGACCAATATTTATTCTAGTAATGACAAAAGTACTTTGTACTGGTGGTAGGACCTCTTGTGAGCCCGCACGGGTAGGTACCACCACTCTGCCTATTTCTACCGTGAAGCAGTACCTATGCGTTTCGGTTTGAAGGGTGGGGCAGCCGTTGTAACTATACAGAGACCTTAGAACTGGCAAGGTAGGTGGCGCATTTACGTTGTAGATGTCTATGGGCTTCAGTAACCACTTAACACCAGGTGGGCTGTGAATTCGTCCACACATCTAAGCAACACAAAAAAAATCGGATATTAAGATAAAGATAACTGCAGATGACATAAAAGACAAAATTACTCGGCATTGAGGTTACCGGAGATTTTGTAGGTGATGGTACAGCATAGTAGCGAAAACTAAATATTCTTCTAGCTACAATCATCTGTCAGAGGTCAAAGAACCCAATGAAGAGTCAGCTTCTGGATTCCCAATAAAGAGATACCAGGAGGGTCTGGTGAAAGAAAGTAGCGATTCAGTGAGAGAATTGTCTCAAAATATTCTGGTAGCTCCTGAATCATCTGTATATTCTTCAGTCTATGTTGGGGCCAAGTTAAGCAGTTATGAAAATTCGGAAACAATATGTCCCAGAGCACACATACGTAAAACACCATTAACTTTACGCAAAAACATGAAAATCGTGTCCTAAATGTGCCCTAATATTTACTGGTGGTAGGACCTGTTGTGAGTCCGCGCGGGTGGGTACCTTGCCTATTTCTGCCGTGAAGGAGTAATGTGTTTCGGTTTGAAGGGTGGGGCAGCTGTTGTAACTATACTTGAGACCTTAGAACTTATATCTCAAGGTGGGTGGCGCATTTGCGTGATGTCTATGGGCTCCAGTAACCACTTAACACCAGGTGGGCTGTAAGCTCGTCCACCCATCTAAGCATTAAAAAATAAATTTAAAAAAGCCGGAAAAATAAATATGGTATCAATGTCGAAACGTACCACTTAACAACTCCAACAATAAAGTGTATTCATTACAAAACTTCGACTACACACGCACATTACTGAGGACGGCCGCATGACCATTTGAACAATAAAAATTCTAAGAATATTCTTATTATATAATAATTTGTGTTGTTAATCACACGATAAATATATAATCATGAACACGATCCAATTCGGGACGTACATACCGTGTTCGTTATTGTATGTTTGGTACGCGAAGAATCCGCCCTATATGAACCTAATAGTTTCTGGTATTATGTAATAGTAATTTTCAAACACCAAAAGCATATAATATAGCAAAAGTTCTACAGAATGAATTATGATTGAGGTTTTTGTTTGCTCGTAGGTATATGTATCACTATGACGTTGCATCAGTAGACCTACGAAAATAAATCTCATACTATAAATCGCAAGATTTCGAAAAAGTATTACTTTATTTAAATAATTAATCATATTTTAATTTTTTATTTAATTATTTTAATTTTCGAATTTCAACTTTAGATGTAATACAAACGTGTGCTTCCTAATCTTTGAACACATTTCAACAAATTCAAATTTCCGTGGCCTTGGTTCAACAACTGTTTCAAACTATTACAGGCCTCCCTCATATAACACGGTACTTGCAAAACACGGTTTCGATATTACACGGTGCAATAATTGAGAGTAATTGTAACACGTTGAATGCCAAATGAAATATCGAGTATTTTCATTCAGGCCACGGTGCTTACCGGTGAGCCTCATTTTAATGAAACATTCGGGTCCTGAGTGTCACCCGTGATTTGCGTGAGGGTTCCAACGTAGACGCTTCCTACAAGCCACAGATTGCAGCTATCAAACAAAACGTGTATGGAAGTGAACCCTTTAGCCCTTTAGCCGAACCGAATGCCTTGGTTTTAAAATCTAATATAAAGTTGTAGTTTTTATCAAGATTATATATAGCCTTCTAAAATATCTTAAATGACGGTATAAGTCGCTAATTTTTATGTTCTGTGCAAATTATCGCATTTTATAAATTTTAGAACGAAAAGCTCAGGTTGATAACTGATTCCCTGATTTTGGCTTGGCCTGAATGGTATTATATATCGACGCTTGAAAGGCAGGCAGACGTGACTATGCGACAATGCGTGAACTTTACAGTAGACTAATTTAAAGTTGAAATACCTGAAAATAAAATTTATTTTAACGAATCCAGCTGTAGTAGAATCTAGCTAGTAGAAATGATTTTAATAGACCTAGAAATATATATTTTTTGCGCATCGAATATGGTTATTGCCTATCATTTATGTACAAAGTAGTTATTGTCGCTTAGTCACGTTTGCCTTTCAAGCGTCGATATGTATTGACCACCCAGTATAGTACGCTAGTGTATACTTGTAACAAGTAACGTGTATAACGCGATTCCAAAAAATCGAATATGCATTGGAAATTCGAATTTTTCTTGGAAAATGCGTTCAATACGGAAAACCCCGGTACTTAAGTATTAACGCCGCCGCAGTGCAGAAGCCGGCTTTTAAATTTTAAATACCTCTAGTACCATTTAACAAAAATAAAATTCCTCGTGATCTATTCTCACTATATGAATATCAGGAAATTACCCAGAACCAAATCAGACAATCCGACTTTTCACGTGATCTTGTCTTCTCTACCCCTAGAGTGTATATACAAAAGCGGAGGCGCAGAGGGAGATAAGTCTACGGCGGGATCCTGGCTGAGCCTTTGTTCGCCCACCTATCCTGGTGAAACTGGAAAGGCCTCTAGGCACCAGTAATCTCTTATAAATAAAAAAGTCTACGCCCGCTCTGACGAAGCTGCGGAACCAAACATGAGTGACCGTGTTTCGGCACGCATAGGCGGAAGGGCAGCTGTCCACGTTGCGTCGGAGTTAAGGAAGAAAAATCAAACTGGCGGGGAGAGAGAAGCTTCCCTCCCAGTTTGACTAAATAGCGCTATTCTAACCTAAAATCATTAACCATGCGGCATTTAAAAACAGACTTCTGCACTCTTGTAGCGTTAATACGTAAGTACCGAAATCCTCAATTTTATTGCATAAACCTCTCATTTAATTTCAAAAAGTGACAGTATGCGTTTTGTTCTTTGCAAATTCAATTGATAAAGTTTTAGCTTTGGTTTGTTTTTGACATTTTGGAAAGTAAAATGACAAAAACTAAATAGTTTATATACGTGTTTAAAGTACTATAAGTGTATAGTAATTTCAATTTGAGGTATGTTAAAAATTTAGTTATAACGTTTAGGGTAAATCTAATTATGGAACTTAAGTTCAGATCTTGTCTGATCAAGAAGCAAAAAATTAATAGAAACTTTATTTCACTCGAAGAAAATATTGAAATTTTAGATGGAAGCCGCGAAGCAAAGCCAACATCGATTTCATAATCATTAAATTTAAACGAAGCTAGTAGGTACGTATCACAAAATTTTACAACTTAAGACGTGGGTTTCGATACAACACGGTATACCTTGTTTCGTATAACACGATTTCGATATAAGAGAGTACTAATTAATCGTGTTGTACGAGGCACGCCTACCTATAAGTATTTTATGTCGTGGTTTTTGAACTACTTCAAAGAAGAGGGAGTTTCTCTTTTAGGTTGTATTTTGTTTGTTTGTTAACTCAAAACTCAGTCATTTACAATTCAAGTGGGTAGAGTATTTTTTTTGTTTGCATATATAGACTTCAGATTGGTCACCTAGAAATTTCACAAAATCCGTTCGATAGTTTGGTTTTTTAAGTCAAAATATCTGGAAGTATTCAGAACGTCGGAAATAATTTAATGACAATAATAAATAAATAAATAAATATTTACTAACAATCATGCCACGTTAACTGGTCCCGTGCTAAGTTCGTAAAGAACTTGTGTTACAGGTACCAGATAACGGAAATAAATGTAAGATTTTTATTATACGCATACATATATTTAATATACATCCATAGCCCTGGAAAAGACATTTATATTTATCATACAAATATCTTCCCTTGGCGGGTTTGGAACCCGCGACCCCCTTGTGTAGTGACCATGTCACTTACCACTACACCAGACGGCCGTATAATAAACGTGAGATTAACCCATAATACTTATCAACGAAATGAATTTCACGACCACCTTCCGTGAATAGTTAGCCGATGTTTATGTGACAGGTAACGATCTGCCAAGTTCTCTAAAGTCTCCATGCTGCAGCACAATGTTCAATTATCTGCCAACGTTAGCTTTTAATAACTATAATACTCACTTCTTGACGAGAATTTTCCCCGATTTGTCAGCCTTTAACGTTATCTTCGTGTGCAATTTCTCTAGAAACTTCACCGTTGGATTGTTGAACTGGTTCAAGTTGTAAGCCAACGCAAACAACTCTTCGGTCCATAACTGGGGACAAAACGAAAATTATTTAGTTTTTCTTTTTTAGTGTAGTACACCGGACGATCTCAGTGCCCGCCTGATGGTATTATCTATAATATATACATATTTAATAATATTATTTCCTCCATCCTCGGGACATAAGATGGAAGATTATATTGCATTACTAGCTGACCCGGCAGACTTCGTAGTGCCTCAACCGAGAAATAAAAGACCTAAACATTTGTATAAAATAAACCTAAAACAAACAAAAGGAATCCGTCCGACAACATCAAAGGAAAAACAAAATAGTTATTTTTATTTAATTCCGAATATTTTCATATTTATCTACCTTTTAAACCATCTCTGGACTTCCACAAATAATTCAAGATCAAAATTAGCCAAATCGGTCCAGCCGTTGTCGAGTTTTAGCGAGACTAACGAACAGCAATTCATTTCTATATATATATATATAGATTAAGATGATTGTAGATTAATAGTAAAATCTATCATTCCCGATTTTACGATAACGGCAAAAGGCACATGCTTTAGTCGCGTACCCGAATGCCCATAAATGAGAGTTTACAGAAATAACATAGCAACAGTGTCCGTTTCAAAATGAAACGAAGACCAGATATAATTATAATAAACCTTGACTTTTAGATAACAAAAGGATCTCGGTATGAACTGTGCGCTATATTTAAAAACGTTATACGAGCCAACAAACACATTGAAAGTAATACTAATTCTCTTGGCATTCTTTATTTACTGAGTAGAGAGTATTAATACACTATTTAAGAACGAAGACAATTTATTTTTATTTTTTGCATGCCCTATAATTGAACTTTATAACGGCGATTTTATAAAATGAACTTACAATTTTATAAAATGAACTTACAATTTTATAAAATGAACTTACAATTTTATAAAATGAACTTACAATTTTATAAAATGAACTTACTACAAGTAATTTACAAACGGTATCAAATAAACAAATCTTTTAATGATTTTGAGGGCTTTCTGGATGTGAAATCAGTTGGAAATAATTTTTATTACCTGACTATTTGAAGACCTTAAAACTTATAATATATCTCAAGGTGGGTACAGCATTTACGTTGCAGATGTCTATGGGCTCCAGTAACCACCAGGTGGGCTGTGAGCTCGTCCACTCATCTAACAATTAAAAAATAATAAAACATACACACATTGATGCATTTCACGCGTGAGCGTGTATTGCATAATAAAAAACTATTAAAAATCGAGAGAGCTCGACATTCATTCGTCGTCAAATAATGTCAACGCGTTCATTTGAATTCTATTAATACTAGAGGACCCGCAGTAGTCGAAATTCGATTATAATTAATTGAAATTGTAAGTTTGTACACTATTATGATTCTATTTTATACTTCTATAATCACAAATTTCGCCAAGACTATACTATAAAAAATATTAACAAAGACAAACAATATTTAATCTATTCTCAATTTCACAACAGACGTCAAGAACAAAAGTTTCACAATAAATAGTATGCATGCGTGTGTGCGTCAAATACATGGTATGTAGAGTGTGTAATGTTTTTTTTTATTGATTTAATGTATCTTTTATGCATTATTAAAAAAAAATATTAGCATTGTGCACTTCTTCTCTATATTCTCTATAAGTGTGGAAAAATTCATACTCCTCCGTCCGCGCAATTTTCGTAAAAAGGGATACAAAGTTTTTGCTTCACGTATTAATATATTAATATTTACTACTGTAATTTGGAATGATTCCATTGTCAACTTGGATGTTAAGCGAATACCAGAACCCAGTCACTAAACGCGTAAAATCTGCCCGAATCTTCGAGATATCAATCAATCTGATCAGTCGTTGTAGTCTAACGGATAAGACGTCCGGTGCATTCGTGTTGAGCGATGCACCGGTGTTCGAGTCTCAGGCGGGTACCAATTTTTCTAATGAAATACGTACTAAACAAATGTTCACGATTGACTTCCACGGTGAAGGAATAACATGGTGTAATAAAAATGAAACCCGCAAAATTATAATTTGCGTAATTACTGGTGGTAGGACCTCTTGTGAGTCCGAGCGGGTGGATACCACCACCCTGCCTATTTCTGTCGTGAAGCAGTAATGCGTTTCGGTTTGAAGGGTGGGGTAGCCGTTGTAACTATACTGAGACCTTAGAACTTGTATCTCAAGGTGGGTGGCGCATTTACGTTGTAGATGTCTATGGGCTCCAGTAACCACTTAACACCAGATTGGCTGTGAGCTCGTCCACCCATCTAAGCAATAAAAAAAAAACAAAAAATGTTAAGCGAATACCAGAGCCCAGTCACTGGGCGCGTAAAATCCGTCCGAATCTTCGAGATATCAATCAATCTGAGCAACGACTCATTTAACTCTTCAAAGCGAAACGCATTAATGCTTCACGTATAAACATACAGGATGCTCATACATACCCGTGTGCCTACACAGTATGGCTGACTAGTAATTATGCAAATTTATACATTTCGGGTCTTATGTTATTACAAATTACTACAGCGTGGTTTTCGTTCGAAATATATTCTAACCCTAAGTAATCATGGTAGAGTGAACTCACACGGGTCGATACAGTCTCCTAGTTTAGTTCTGCCGTAAAGCATTGGACGCTTTCCGTTTTAAAAGTTGGGATATCACTTCGATTATATAGCGACTCTCATGTTCCACGGTAATTTGCTGTATCTATGGGTTCCGGTAGTCAAACCTTGAGCTAACAACAAATCTCCTTACCGTACACTAATTCATTGAACTAGCGACGTAAAATATCTATATTAACATATAAATCTAGTCGCTTTTACGGATATTCAGTTATAACTACTGAAGCAAGCATCCGATTGACTTGAAACTTGGTATCTATGTAGAAAATACATGCACTTAATGGATAGGCTAATATTTATATGAGCGTTGGACTCCCTAATAATAATGACAATAAATAATAATGTTATTTTAAATGCCCAGCGAAGCGGACGACTAAGGTTAGTAATATATATTTTAATGATACGACATGTTTAATTTAAAATTAGTATAGAACATTGTTCAGTTACGAATATGAATACAAGACATTTCATTTAAAATTCTGGTTGAAATAAATAATTGCTCGGAATACATCATACAAAATTTTAATTATAGGTCATATTATGGTATACTTATTACGATTTATTATTTAATAAAATAAAAAATAAACGAGTACCTAAGTGTTGTTTAGTATCTATTTTTGTTTTAGTAATCATTTTATGCCACTGGTTAAGCTGACTTTCGGGTCACACTAATACAATAAAATTTCTGAATCGTATATTGAAATAAAACTCAGAAAATTTATTTTGGCAGGCAATATTGGTAGGATGCCTAATAGCACGAATAGATAACACAATTCTTATTACTTTTGTCTCCGCGCATTATTTGACTATGATATTTATTTATTTTTCGTAACCTATTCTCTAGCTTCCTAGCCTAGGAGGCAATTCCAGCTACGCCCTGGTAGGTTAGCTCACAGAGTCTACTCGAGAGAATTTGCTAACACTAGCACGTACAATGTGCAATATGCCTCACAGAATTTACCACCGGATCCGAATTGCGACCCACTGTGAAGATCCGGCGAGAAACTCTATGGGCTGCGTCTGTGGCTACTTAATTCTTACTTACTTCCGAGAAAGCTTAATAATCTTCCGATTTAAACGTTAGGAATTCGATAACCATACAATTGACCCGCCTTGTGTAATGTTTACACAAACAAATAAAATAGGTGAAGGATGTATATAAATACCAATGTTTGTCGAATAAACAATTGAATTTGTCTAACGAAACCGCGTACCTAACTATGCCTTATAACTCTGAGGCATAAGTTTTTGGTGGTCGGTATGAGTAAGAGATATAGTACACACGTTTGTGTAGTACTCGCATGAAGCATCTACATACATATTTACGCTATTGCCGACTACTATTTGGGTAGATAAAAATATATGATTTAGTATGGATATTTAAGTAACCCCCAAATGCGGTACAAATTATTGTCACAGTAGTCGTCGATTCGCTGTATCACGCCCGCGAACGTATACTTATTTGGAAATCTGTTTATTCTATTTGAGTACATTTACAGCGATTCTAACGCAAGCCTACTGTGGTAAATACGGAGGCGGTATATCCATTTGAAAAGGTTGTTTCATTAAAAAATACATGGTAGGCGGAGTGAGGGGCGTTAGGTTTTTTTCGTTACGGAATGTCATGATTCGGTCGCCGCGCTCAGGGCCCGCGATAAAAGCCATGCAATAGCTTAAAAATCGTTGGTTTACGTCACGATCAGGGATAGAAGATCTCATGATTCTGCTATTGTTTGGTAACGAACACAGTACAATAACAACGTCAACATTGCCGTTGTTATTTTTCTAGCTAGTTCTAGCACCAGCCACAGCGCCACATCTATAAGTCGTCGTGGCCTAAAAGGATAAGACGTCCGGTGCATTCGTAGCTAGCGATGCACCGGTGTTCGAATCCTGCAGGCGTGTACCAATTTTTCTAATGAAATACGTACATGGCAAATGTTCACCTTTGGCTTCCACGGTGAAGGAATAACATCGTGTAATAAAAATGAAACCCGCAAAATTATAATTTGCGTAATTACTGGTGGTAGGACCTCCTGTGAGTCCGTAGGGGCCTATTTCTGCCGTGAAGCAGTAATGCGTTTCGGCTTCAAGGGTGGGGCAGCCATTGTAACTATACTGAGACCTTAGAACTTATATCTCAAGATGGGTGGCGCATTTACGTTATAGATGTATATGGGCTCCAGTAACCCCTTAACACCAGGTGGGCTGTGAGCTCATCCATCCATCTAAGCATCGTATACACAAAGATCGTACTTGTCGAACTAGTGGAAGAGTTCGAAGTCACGCTATATGAAGAACATCAGCCAGCTGAGTTTCTCGCCGATCTTATGAGCCGGTCGCGCGATATTATGGTAAATTGCACAAAAGCAAATGAGGCCTATAAAATCAAAG